AAAATCAAGAAGACAGAGTTCGTATAAGGAATAAATGAGGGGAAACCACCCGGAGCGGAGGAGTCAGCAGGAGGGGGTTCAAAAGAGATAGGGGCTAAGCAGGTCTCGTGAGGGGACCAATATTCCCCGAGACTAGGGCTCCCCGAGTCTTATAATCACAACAACAGTAGATAAGAAGGTGTAAATGTTTGACCGAAGCCCTCCAGATCAGAAGGACAACTGAGATTGTCGTTTTAACATAGGAATTAGGTCGACTCCTTCACGCATCAGGCTTCGTTGGAAATTATACAAGGGACCTGTACAGAATCGAATGACGAGTGAGAAGTTAAACAGTACGTGGAGCTTAGAATTCTGGCCAGAAAATCAAAAGTATTTGTGGGGTCAACCATCTCCAACACCATCCACAGGATCCTGTCACCAAGGGAGGAAGTATTGTTATAAACTTTTTAACAGGAAAGGAACTTCAAGATGGGGAGAGTTGGATCATTGGATACAAGCAAAACTGTTGAAAGGACAAAACTCTGAATGGGGAAAAGGATTTGGGGCAGAAGTCACGACAAAAGTGAAGCCATACAGTAACAGTCCCTTTTTAACATGGGGCGATGTCGTCGATAAAATTTTACAGAAGCTGGATGGAATCGTAGTGGTAGGAGGAGAAGTATCTAATGAATCGCTCTTTTGGAGGAAGGAAGAGTGGAGCAATTCCTTAGGAGAAAATAAGGTAGAAGACACCCCTCTGGATCAATTTTCATCAGGTAAGAACCTGTTATTGGTCGTAATGTGTATCATCACAGGATTGATGAAGGGGAAGGACGCAGGACAGAGAGAATTTAGCGGAAGGGGACGACTGTGTAATATGATAGATAGCGGTCTCGAGTTCAGGTATTCCGATTGGGACCACTGGATTCGTAATAAGGAGAAGAGGGGGGAGGGGAAGGAGTATCGATGTTCTAGATCACATGGAACAGACGGGTGTCAGGAAGCAGGAATAGCTTTGATATTAAGTGTGTATCATTCTATGAAAAGCATGTTCCCAAACTATGGCCCATATAAGATAAGCTATTGGATAACCAAAGAAGGAAAAGATCAGGGCCGGCAGAACTCTGAAAGGTGTCAGCTAAAGGGAGAGCACATAGAATGTTCCGGCAACGAAACGTCTGAGTCCCAGGAGGGCGTGATAATAATAGAAGAGGAGGAACTTGGACAGTTGACTAGACCACATGTGTTGAAGACAAGCGATGAACTGGTTAGACAGAATGAGGAGCAAAGAAGGATCACATTGGAAGAGAAAAGAGACAAAGGGGGCCCGTCCCTCTCAGAGGCGTGTGTCATAGGTATGGAAAAACACACCACCCAAAGTAAAGCATCTGAGCACTCAACTGAAACCGTCGTAATCGGAAGCTTAACTCCAGACGTGCAAAACACGAGGCATGAAACTACCGTGGACAGGGAAGCAGTGAGTGCGCACGCTGCAACTCCCGAAAGTACCGAGGCAGAGGATGTTGCCCCCCCACTCCCAACCGAGGGGGACACCAGAAGGGAGGACGCGCCCGATGATGCCGCCTCGTCTGGAGGGGGAGCGAGCCAGGAAGATGGGGGACCTCAGGAGGTGGTTAAGGGATCGATAAGTCCGGACATTTCAGCGTGGTTAAATTTAATCAGAGAGCCCAACTGGGGTGTAATTGGGGGCGTAGCGGGTATAGTTTGCCTGGCATTGGCGGGTGGTTATGGTCTGTGGAGGGTGTTTCGGGATCCTCGAAGAAAAAGGCGGGCAGGGGGCTTGAGGGCTGGCAAGAACATCTATGGCATGAGATATAGGGCCGGCGCGTATTAGGGGTGGGTTTTCAGCGTTTAGGGTTCAGGTTTAGGGTTGGGGAACAACCAATACTAATATGACCTCCTCCCCAAGACAACTTGATACCATCATCTACAACCTTGAATCAGACCCAGTGTGTGCAACTGGGTGCACTGAGGGGTTATGTCCCACCTATGATGACCCTACTTCCATATGTTAGTAATCCACCGAAGAATATGTTATGTCTTCAAATAAGTGCAGATTAAGTCTACATTGTGTTAAAATGTGTACCATCTTCCGTCTTATTAGTCTGTTTGTCCGTTAATTATTAGTGAATCCACTAGTGTATGGGTGTTAGACGAGTTGGATTGTCCCAAGTGAGATAGTGAATAGAAGAATTCTATCACCATAATTAGATGTGAAGAAGCGTCTTTGTCAAGGAAGAATTAATCTATGAGTAAGTATATGGATTGACCCTCCCTTGACTTGGGCTGTGTTGGGAGGTCCCTTCCTTATAAGGGATGGTACCAAGGGAGTGACCAATAACCAGCCAGAAGAGGTCCGATTTCGGACTTCGAGAAGTTGTTGTTTTATCATCTTGTTTTGCTTTGTCCTATCGGAAAAAAGGGGGACACCCTGGGATTTAGAACATTTCGATATAATGCAGGGGTCACCATAATATATATATATATATGCTGGTAGGATGAAACAGGGATGCTGACAAAATCGGTGGTATCCTTTCTGATTGGTTATATGAGGATGACTACTTAGGGAAACACAGGCCTGTTCCTAAAATATCATATTTCTAAATGTTCCTTTTCCGTGTCAAATTTGATGAATCCCCTTTCGCAAAGATATAACTAGAATGTTCCTTCTCTTTCCATCCTACTAAGAATGCCCTCAATTCTTTCAGTAAAACATACATTAATTGTTCTCTCATTAGAACAGTATATAAGCCCAGAGGATAGCATAACTTCTATTTACGTTGGTAAATGTATGCTAGGCGGTCTTGTAATTACAACTTTACGGCCGACTGATCTGATATGTAAGGAGTGGACCTCATGGCCTTCGAGAATGCTGTCGTACTTATATAGGCTTGTTCTTTTTCTTTTCTACTGTGAACTTATGATTCCCTCTATAAGGATATTTTATCAATGTGTGATTTCTACTGCGGTGTCTTGAATTAGTCTTGCCCTGTTTCGTACAGAACCGTCCGGGTGGAGTTAAGCATCTTCTATAAATTCCACGTTTCCGTGTGTCCGATAGGAGAGTGTCGCCCAATTTTGTAGGTGCAGGGGAATACAGAATCCCATAGGCCATGTTTATCATTAAGTGAAACAGATGGACAATAATGTTTTTCGACTTCTTCCGTATGTGTCTAGGCTGTTATGTAGAAGGAGTATTTAAGAGGACAAACAAGTGGACTACTCTCAGGATACTTCTAGGGGGATTATTACAAATAGCAAATTCTGGCTTTTCCATTTGGACATTCTTTCTTCGTCCTATGTTACAGAAAATTCGTCTACCCCCACATTCAAGACGAATGCGGCATAGGATCGTAGATGAAATATTTCGTGGCCTTCAGATATGTTCCCCTGATGCTGAGTCACAACTGGTGAGCTGCCTTTTACATCTGTCTCGCATTGCAAGCGTGCCTACCAGTGCGACTGATTATCCTCGTAATTTGTTAACTAATTCACGTACTTGAGGTCCGTGTCTCTGGAAGTACGTGTCCCCTTGGTTTTCCGGGTAGGAGTTCCTCGCATCTCTTTGTACTCTGTACTTATCAAAGTTCTCTCAGGTCATCTCACTTTATGGCATCCGTATGAACAGCATTCCAATGTAACATCTAAGTATGCGTGTCACATTTTGCCTCTGAAGATGCTCTACTCCAGATACTTCATTATCATCATGGTGAGCGCCTCTGTATTATTGTCCGTTTGTCTCCTCTTATATGAGGCATGTAAATCCTTGTGCTTTATACTCAGGGTGTTTTTTTCTGGACATCCCCAGAAAAATTCTGTGTGTATCTGCTATTTTTGGGGACGCTTCCATATTCTCCTCGTTCAAACAGTTTCCTATGTGGCCACCCAGGTACAATTTCACGTCTTGTGAATTCTATTGCTCTTTGCATTCATCCAGTAGCATCATGAATAGCGTTATCAACTCTTCCGTATGTAGTCCCTCATCTGTAAGTACACACAGCTCGTGGTTATGCACCTCCTGTCTCTCTTTATGGCAATTCGTTCCTGACGTTTTATTCGTCGTCTCATGTATTACATACTTGTTTGTGTCTTTTCGGTAGAGCCTGATAACTTTATCAGACAAACTATCTGGAATGTATTTTTTCATACGTATGGGCTGTTTTGAAACCTAATTGCTACATACACTCCCTGGCCTTTGTAGGACAAGAGTATTTCGTTCCTGGTTAAATTGATTGGTTGTAGACATTACAATTTCCTGAACGCATTGTTCATCCATTCTGCGTCCTCGCTGTAATCTGTGGAATTAATTGTTCTGTTTCAACATATCAAAAATATACCAGTATTTATGTTCCAAACTATGCCACTAATGTTCTGGTATGTACAGATCACCACAGTTGTGCGCATCTATCCAGATTATATTGCTCCGTCAAGTAATTTCACCTATCACACCTTTATTTATCATAAATGTGTGCACCACTACTTGGAGGAAATGTTCTTTGGTCAATTTGCATTCTTCTTCTTTGATTGAGCTAAAAGTTGCGTATTTATATCTAGAATCTTCTGGGGAGCAATTCTTTCTTATTTTGCATGTATACATTTCTTGGGATGTGTTAATTATATATTAACTATACATATTAAGGGCCGCACCATGGCATGTCATCACTTTATATATTCCTCTTTCCCTCGCAGTGAGGGCCACACATTGCTGTTTGCACGTATACTCTTCTTCTGGATTTGTGATTCCTGTATTTGAGGGTAAACAGCGGTTCTAGGGGTATGTATTGCGCTAAGGAAGAGAGTTGCCACAAGGGGTTAGACCCCGTTCTTCAGCGTCCGCTAAATACTGACGACGCTGCACTAAAGGATATTTTCCGTCTGTGCATATATATACATATATATACTTCCATAAGAAAGATAGCCTCTGTAATGACACTTCCGACTGCTATGATAATAACTGAAAACTCAATAAAGGCAATACCATCATCATTTAGTGTTAG